GGTCCTGGGGCTGGCGGTCTCGGGGTGTTGCAGCAAAACTTGGGAGAACTCAGCCTGGATGGCGTGTTGGTGCTTGAGGTTTTGTGGTTGTTTGGGGTCGTGAAGTTGGGTTAAGGATGGGTGATGGGTTTTTCTCAGCTTTTGTTAAATGTTTCTAAAGCACACGAAGCTCAATTTCTTGGTAGCGTACCCTGCGCTACTGAAAAAAATGCATTTCTGCAGTTACATCCACTCGTCAAGTTGCTTGGCACAAAAGAAGGAAAAGTTGTATATTAGTGAAGCTGGTGATTAGCGCTTATGTTTCTCTCTCTTCTTGCCTAGATCGAGCGATTGGAAGTCAGCAGCCTAGCGCAGACCTCCAGCGCAGTGGCCTCGAGCACTGATGGCAGCATCAATGCAGACTCTGTTGATGGGACCCCAGACCCTCAACGTACAAAAGTGGCGATCACACACCTGCAACAGAAGATACTGAAGCTGACTGAGCAGATCAAAATCGAACAAACGGCCCGTGATGACAATGTGGCAGAGTACCTGAAACTGGCCAACAATGCAGACAAGCAGCAGAGTGCCCGCATTAAGCAAGTGTTTGAGAAGAAAAACCAAAAGTCAGCCCAGACCATCTCGCAGCTGCAGAAGAAACTAGAACATTACCACCGAAAGCTGCGAGAGATTGAACAGAATGGGATCCCTCGGCAGCCGAAGGATGTCTTCAGGGATATGCATCAGGGCTTGAAAGATGTTGGAGCAAAAGTCACTGGCTTCAGTGAGGGAGTAGTAGACAGCGTGAAAGGTGGGCTTTCCAGTTTCTCCCAAGCCACGCATTCAGCAGCAGGAGCTGTGGTTTCCAAACCCCGGGAGATTGCCTCTCTCATAAGAAACAAGTTTGGGAGTGCAGACAACATTGCTAATCTGAAAGACTCCTTAGAAGAAGGCCAGGAAGATGGGACAGGAGGCAAGGCTCTAGGTGTTATTCAGAACTTTCAGTCAAGCCCAAAATATGGCAGTGAAGAGGATTGCTCCAGTGCCACGTCGGGCTCTGTGGGAGCCAACAGCACCACAGGGGGCCCTGTGGGAGCTTCCAGCTCCAAAACAAACACTCTGGATATGCAGAGCTCAGGGTTTGATGCAATACTGCATGAGATACAAGAAATTCGAGAGACACAGGCAAGACTGGAAGAATCATTTGAGGACCTCAAGGTTCGCTATCAGAGGGATTACTCATTGATAATGCAGACTCTGCAGGAGGAGCGGTACAGGTATGTACTTTTGTACTTTATTTCAGAATTAAATCCTGTGAGTTGCAGAGCACCAGAGCCCTGGATAGTACTACTCAGCAGGCTGTTCCCTGGGATTTTCTGCGTTCTTCGTGCGATTTCTCTCTCCCATTTTTGTCTTTTGTAAATAATATCTTGCTGCTCATCTCACTTTCTGTACAAGTAAGAAATAGTAAGGAAAAAGGTTATTTCATAGTGTTTTCAGGGTAAGAAGCCAAGACTAAAAAGTTTAGAAAGGTGTCCGAAAAGACCAGGAGTAAAGGGAAAGGCAGAGCGGTCCCTGGTCAGGTCAGCGGGAGCGGTGCCGGTGGCCCCGGGGAGGCAGCCCGGCAGTGTGGCGTGGCCGGAGCTCCTCCTGCCGCTGTGCAGGCGGTTGTCTCGAGCGGGACGCTGCATCCAGGCACAGCACAGCTGGAGGAGCGGCCTCGAAGCGCAGTAGAGACCCCGGGACTGATGTATGTTGTCAGCTGAAGTGGTGGTTATTCCCTGAACCCATGGTCACGCGGGTCCTCGCGCTAGTCCGATGTGAAGGGACATCAGTGGTGTGCCATCAGCCTTCGCTGAGCCCTCCCTGAGGGGAGCCCGGAGCCCAGCCGCCAGCCGAGGTGGTGAAAGCTGCTGGGAGAACCTGCACTCGCCTTACCAATGGTTAAAAAGATAGTAATATAGACCTGCCCGTTGGAGTGTTGATAGGAATTAATTAAAGGTGTGACCTTTAAAGAGGACCAGTTAAACCACACCGGGTGCCCGCCCCTGGTCCGCAGGAGCTCACGGGTTAATCACAGCGAGATTGATACCTGATTGCACAAATCTAGATTCTTCTTTGATAGCTCCTGTATTTTCAAGCATCATGAAGATAAGAGCCAACATCACCCTGAGAGCTGGAAGGTTACGTGGTGTGTCCGAGGGCAGAGGGAATGCTGCTGCCTTGCTGGAGGGGGCTGGCACCCCTCCCTCTGACCAGGAACCCCTCCTGTACCGCGGTGCTCCTCAGAAAAACTGAAAAGATGGGAATGGAGGTTGTGGTTTGAAGCTGGGAGGCTTGGGATTCAAATTAATCATAACTGGCTTTAAAAGCTATAAATACCTCATAACTGTGCTCTGTTTCTGGGACACTTTCAAAAATAAGCACCAAGTTCAGTTAGAGCTTAAAAAAAATATAAGTATTTTGGAGAAGCCTTTGCTTGTAGGGCAACACCGAGTGCTTGTGTTGTACCTGAAGCTGGAACAAGGCACATGCCATGGCATTGTCTCACCCGGCCTCTGACCGTTTCCTCTTTCTTAGATGTTCTGCTTTTCTGCAGGTTCTGATCTCTTTTCCGTGTGTGTTGATGCAGTTTCTGTTTACCAGCGTGGCTTGCCTTGCAGGGTTTCCATCACCTCCCCCAGCTCCCTCCCTCTCCCTCTTTCCGGATCTCTCCTATCAGTCGGTGCGGCTGCGGGGCTGGCCGGTGTG